CACTAATTCTTATAGCATTGTTTGGGAAGGAAGTGCATTTGGAGCATTGTTTCTGATATATGTAATTATTGTGTTTTTAATGTTTGTGGTGTTTCTTAAAGCTAAGCAGTGTTATATACGTAGCAAAGAGTTTTAAAATAAAATTGTGTTGTATGAATTAAGTGTGTAATCATTGTGAAATCGTGCAATCAGCTAACTACTCCCCTAGCCAGTGCATCAAAACGAATCAGTAAATTGTGTGGGATTTTCTCTATTCCATAACCCACTAGAGACACTGAACACACTAAATACATATCAACAGTCATCTCTAATACAGGCAGTCCTCGACTTTCAACATTTCAAGTTACAACATTTTGCACTTACAACGTTTATAAATTGCCTGTTTCAGCTTTCTGACATCAGTTTCAACTTTACAACGCTTGTGACGCCATGCCAGCAAACAAGTTCACTGTGTCACCCATCTCCCTGGAGAACATCTGTCCAAATTTCCTTGGACACTTTCCTTAAAGCAGACAAGACTCCAGAAAAACCTGCAGCCAAGACTCCTGAGAAGACTCCAGCCAACAACCCTTCAAAAAGTCCAACCAAGAGCCCTTCAAAAAGTCCAGCAAAGTCACCTCAAAGAAGTCCTTCCAACTCAATATGATTGCTATTTACAATATAAATACATTAATGTAGCTATATTACTCATCTATAATAGATTGAGTACAAAATTCTGGGGTATTTTTGGTGAAAATAGGGTATCAGGCCTTGGTTCAGGAACCCATCCCCCATTTATAACATTGTTTCTTATGAGAAAATTGGTTCCGAGTTCCAACATTTCGACTTAAGATGCAGTTTTCAGGAACCAATTGTGTCGTAAATCCAAGGACTGCCTGTATTGTCAAATGGTTCTTGCACAATGGAAAGCAGAAAGAGTGCCAGTTAACTATGGGAATGACTTATTCTTCCTTTTTACTGGTAAGCATGAGACTATTAATGTCACCGATCTGGAGACACCCCAGCAGGAGGAAGGGCATGTAGCATTTTAGCCTCCTTTTACTTCCATAAATTGCCATCTGGAAGTGAATTGGCTGGGTGTTGAATGTTAGTTGTTAGACTACTAGATGAGAAGGGGTATTAGTTGTTGCAGCTTTGTTTCAAAGGTTAGCAGCCACACCCCGACCTAGTTTAGCTTATATTTGGGACTAGAATCAAGGTTGACACGGTTTCCTGCATGTCATTTAGATTTATGCAGGGCCTGGTTCAGGTCCTGCTCTGGGAGCACTCAACAATTATGTTAGATACACTATAGGCTAAATCTATACATCCACAAAAAACCTTATGGTTGCCACCTAACCTGCCTGTATCCTCTGAGGGGCTTGATCCTGTAGCTTACCTCGTGAAGCGGGCGCCATACAAAATGCAGGTGGTACTTTTCCTTTATAACACGGCAACGGACCTGGAGGAGGAGGAGGTGGTGACTGTGGTGTCCCCCTTTCATACAATTGGATGGAGAGGACTCCCAGAGCTTGGGGGACAGCTTTGATTATTTCCTCCGCCTAAGAGGGTCCAAACCCACTTCTCCAAAGGCTGCCATAACTAGCAGGATATTCCTGTTCAAGCTGCTACACTCTACAGAAAATAAAAACTGGGCATGCCTACACATGCCCTTGACTGTGCAGCTGGTACTAAATGACTGCACAGTACCCACTGGCACTGTGCAGTCCCAATGGCGCATGGGTCGTTTTTTACCCTAACGCACAGCAGCAACGAGTTTGTCCCATGCAACGAGCTCATTGCTACTGTGCAGTAGTGGCAGTGTCACGGTTAGTGCCCGCTGATGCTACATTGGCATAGGGACAAGCTACATAGTGCCACTGTGTCCTTCTCTGGCATTTTTTAGGTGGTGGATTTCTGTCAATCCCATTCTTAAGCACCCAGATCTCCCCATACAGTGTATAGGGAGTGTGGGTGACTACGGGGAGGGCTGAGGTTCCATCAGGCAGCAAAACTACCTCCAAGTTAGGTACTATAGTTCTGAGCACTGCGACACTGAAGTCCCTTGGTAGGCTCAGCTACAACTAAACAGCCCTGTCAATTCCACTAAAGCAGCCAAAGACACCAGAAATTACCTAGATCCATCATCTCCAAACATGAAACATGATTAGTGAAAGAACAGGTTAGGGACTATTTAGAAAAGCTGGACATATACAAGTCCATGGGGCTGGATGGGATACACCCAAGGGAGCTGGGGGAGGTGGCTAATGAGATTGCAGCGCCACTGGCCATCATCTTTGAAAACTCATGGTGATAAGGAGAAGTCCTGGATGATTGGATAAGGGCAAACATAGTGCCCTTATTTAAGAAAGGGAAGAAGGAGGATCCGGGGAACTACAGACCAGTCAGCCTCACCTCAGTCCCTGGAAAAATCATGGAGGAGATCCTCAAGGAATCTATTTCTAAGCACTTGGAGGAGAAGAAGGTGATTAGGAACAGTCAGCTTGGATTCACCAGGGGCAAGTCATGACTGACCAACCCGATTGCCTTCTATTCTATGATGAGGTGACTGGCTCTGTGGATGTGGTGGTACACCTTGACTTTAGCAAGGCTTTTGATAAGGTCTCCCACATTTTTGCTGGCAATCTAAGGAAGTACGGGCTGGATGAATGTGTACTGTAAGAGGGGGATAGAAAACTGACTGGAGCATCAGGCTCAGAGGGTAGTGATCAATGACTCGATGTCTGTTTGGCAGCTGGTATCAAGTGGAGTGCCCCAGCAGTTGGTCCTGGAGCCATTTTTGTTCAGTGTCTTCATCA